ATTTAAAAAAAAACTTAGTCGAATTTTAGCGCTATATTTGCATTTTTAAGCCAGTAATGAGCGTTATAGTCGTTTTCTGAAGGGGACCTTATATGGGGGTAGGGTCATTTATGGACCAAAAATCATAAAATTTGGTAGAGATTTTGGCTTATATGTTTTTCGGGGGTTCACTTGTATGTGGGCTATCCAAAAACGAGGACCGATATTCTTTACCTGTAAGAACTATTTGTGGAAAATTTCAACCCTAAATCGTCTTAGAATTTAATAAGGACCCAGAATATATATAGTTTTGTGGGTCTATGACCAATATTGCGATGTGTTATAAACGGAAGGACAAAATCAATATTGATTTTGAAAAAGAAAATTTTCAAAAGATTATCTTTTTTGTAGAGCTTTTTCAAAAATTTCTTTCATTTCATGGAAGATTTTCGAAAAATTCTCTTCTTAGAACTTTCTTTAAAAAAATAATTATTTTTCTATTTTTTTAGAAATTTCCCTCTTTATAGCAAATTGGCCTTAACTGAGGCCTCAACAATCTACATTAGGTCACCTTAATAGTATGTACATTTTCTTTGTCACATATTCTGCTATCAATATTTGTACAAGGTTAATAAATTAATCGGGTTAACACTTTTCTGGGTTATCGTACTTCAACGTCATAAATTTGTTAATCTAATATTGTAAATTTACACACATATTTACGGTATTTGTTATGTGTTTGATAAATATTTAGTAAGAATTTAGCATTGTGACATCATCAAATATTTTCACGCTATTGTTACTACCTTTGTTAGGATTACAAAGAAGATAAGAAAAATGTATTGCATTTTTTGCTTAAGTCTAGACATTGTTATGCATTTTCAATTTCGAAAAAAAAACGTTTAGTCATCTTGCTGCACATGCAGTGGGGGAGAATAGGAACAAACACAAGCTGTCAAATAGAAAACTTTTGAAATAATTCTTTGGGAGATGTGATTCTCTCTGTGGAATTTTTAAAAGTCATTGGATAGATTGATTCAATACTCCGAACGATCGAATGTTCAATCAGCTAATATCTGCATAACGTCAATTACGTTGTTTTCATATACATATAATGTATGTTTTGATGTAAAGGGCTGCAAGCCTTTTCTGATCTTGCATTCAGTCATTTTCCTGTTTGTTTATAGAGTTTTTAAGGGTGAGGCTATTCAAAGGTAGTTCCAAGTACGCGAGTTCCAATCCTCTTCACTTAATTAAAATATGTATGTATATTTAATGTATTGATGTTGGCTTATCAAAAGAAGATCGGGTCTACTCTAAACAATGGTTCATATTGCTCCAACAAATAAAGAAATAAAACAAAGTGTTCGTCTGAAGTTTAAGCCCAATTAAAACACAATATTTCCTTGAGACAAGAATCAAATCTAAAACATCTCAGATTAACAAACATGCTAAAAGTATTGAAAGAATACAACGAACCTTATTAATCCTAAGGTTCTTTGTCAATTTTTTAATGTAATGTTTATACCTGTGATAATGTTCTCTCTATTATTCACTTTACCTGTCTGCTTTTGCAACAGCTGTTCTAGTTGCTTTTACTACATTTTCAATATTTGAACTAAAAAATTTAAAAATTTACCCAGAAATTTCGAGTTCAAACTAAATTCTATTTCAAACAATTCACATCAATTAAGTGAGTGGAAAAAGTATAATAAAAACAAAATTTATTGCAGAGAAAATTTAATTAAAAAGTATCCATAAATTCAATTTAAATAATAGTTTTTTTTTTGCTAGTGCTGAAGAAAAAAAAACTTCTATAAAATTGTAAATGTATTTGTTAGATAAATAAACAGCTGCAATAGTTTATCAGAATAAGTTTTATTATTAATATTTACATACATATTTCGCGCCGTTTTTTCTTAACACTCATAAACTCTCGACTGATTAATGAAAATGTCACAATTTTAATTCTGTTAGGAATCATTTCTTATCATCCATAATAACTGTTTCTATATGACTTTAGGTATTATTATAATAACCCTTTATAGTTTACATTAATGTCAGCTACTTAGATATTAATTTAACAAAAAAAGAAATTAAAATAATGCAATTTTTATTTGTTTTTTCATCTTTAATACTCTTTTTATTAAAATATACACAAATTTACTCTTTCATTCTCGCACACTTACAACTTAATGAACAAACACCAAACACAACAACTCTCGATTCAATACGATACGTAGCATTTATGTGACCGAATTTTTAACTCATATGTTGTTTTTTTTTCTTTATATTTTCTTGTTTTTTTTTTCCTTTTGTATAACTAAAAATTGTGTAATGGAATTTCAACGGAAAAACTTTTAATATGTAGATTCTAGTTAAATTAGTTTAATAAAATAATAGTTTAACTATTAAATTGAATGAAATGTTGTATAAAACACAAAACTTTTTGTATTCAATTGATTTTTTCACATTTTTGTTTTCGCTAGAAAAACTACAATTATTTTCCTTTATCCGCCCAACAGGTTATTTTTATATTGAACACTATGACGAGAGTCAAGTCAACCAGTCACCGTCACATTAATAATATTAATTACAAGCACGCTACTAGTTTCTACCGCCAAATTCCCACCCAGCCAGCGAACACAACATTTTCCTTAAACACACCAGACGCAACTGATTTGCAAAACCAAAAAGTGTTGGTAATTTGTTTTATGATTTGTAAATAAACAAGAGAAAACTAAGACGGTACCAACATGTTTGATCTGATTTTGGGTTTGAGTTTGATGCCGCTCCAAAGTATTGGTTGTGTTATTGTTTGATGTATGAAGAGATGATTAAAAACAATTTTGCGTGTTTTATTTTTACAATTTCTTTTTCTTGTAATTTTAATGCCATTAATTGGTCATGAGTCATTATTGAACAAAATTATTCGATTAATTAAATAGTTAATCGATTTTTATATAAAGTAAAAAAGTGCCCATTGTTAATCAATGACATCAATTGCAAATAAGTCTGCATTGAATCAATAATGTTAATGAAATTTAAAACAATACAATTATAATTTGTACAATCATATCTTAACTATCATATCAGATTTAAACACAAATTTGAAATGATTTAAATATTAATAACAATTCATTGACTGATCAATGATCGAAAAATACTAAATTGACATTACAATTTCATTTCACATTTATTTTTCTACTAATGGTAACTTTTTTTGTTTATTATTATACCAATCAGTCTGTCTAATTTTATTTAAATTAACTCTAATTTAATTTACTGTTCAATTTAAGCTAAAAATGTTTGTTAATTTACTACAAAAAAAGGTGTGAAAATGTAGTTTGTTCAGTTTATATGTAAATAGATACAGAAAAATTATCAAACTTATCTCCAAAACTATTATCGGTTCTGCATGGAATCATTACTATTTAGTCAGAAATTTCTCATGTTTTATCAAATCGACATTGTTTAGGCAGATATCCGGTGAATAAGGTTTAATTGAATCAGAATAGAATAGTAAAGATTCAACAACCCCAATCTTTTCAGTATTTAGGCAGATATTTCTCATGTTGAGATATCCGTTGAGTTATATATTTTATGGGGATTTTCTATACGTATGGATAATGTTCAACATTTCATTATAAATTTGTGAAAGATTTTCTATAGAAAACTCGTTCAAATTTGTAAAGAAAAGTTCAGTACTGAAAAGAAATTAAAGAAAACTCCATCACTGATGGATTTTTTTTAAAAAACTCAAACACTGAACAAAAATTAGTTTACTGATCAGTTTACTATAGGAAACGTCATTACTGAGTAAATATCTTTAGAAAACCTAATCATTGATTAAATTTCTTAAAAAAAACTTTATCGCTGAACAAATGTCTTGATCACTGAATAAATTTCTATAGAAGACCAGATCACGGATCTTATTTCAGCATATAACTTGATCATTGATCAAATTTCTATATAAAACACCAACACTGAGTAAATTTTTTTTTAAAGAACTTGATCACTGATCAAATTTCTACATCCAACTTCATCACTGAATAAATATCATTAGAAAACTTGATCATTGATTAAATTTCATTAAAAAAAACTTGATCGTTGATTAAAATCTTTAAAAAAAACTTGATCACCTAAAATTTTTGTAGAAAACTTGATCATTGATCATATTTCTGTATAAAACTCCTTCACTGATTAAATATCTGTAAAGAAATTGATCACTTATCAAATTTATACAGAAAACTTGTTTACTTTTGTGCAAAATTGATCACCGATCAAATTTTCAAGAATTTCTCTGTGATTGTCACTAAGAGATCTTGTGGATGTAGGATTGAAGAAGATGTTAATATAACATGAGCTCAGCAAAAACTTCTGGGGCTACATTTAAAAGCTTTCTCTTTTCCTTTTATTGGTTTTCTGGGTAAATTAGTTGTCCCTAAAAAGAAAACTAGTCTCAGTGTCTCTGAAAAGAAACTAGTACATATTAATTTAAAAGTTTGAAGATTTTAAATTTTTGCGAGGAAGACATTAATTTGATCTGTTAGATGATATACATATTATATTTTGATAAGTTTTTTGAGTATATGCTGAAATCAAAGTCTTTTAAGGAAGAAGAAGAATATGTTCCATGAGCTAAACAGCAATCTTGTGGCACATTTCAGATATTGGGAACATTATGTTAGAACATGAATTGTATGATTCAAGGAAATTTATAAATCTTGTTATTCGTTTAAGCTTGGTGATGAGGTTGAAGCGCTGTACACCTAATTTTTGGCGGAGAATTGAAAATACTTCATTATAAAGGTTATGCTAAAAACGAAATGGAAAGAAATTATACTACACATTTAGCATATAATACATACCTCCAACTCTGGACAAATCTCATCAACTTTTAACTTCAGTTGTAATCATTCTGCACTCACACACATATTACTCTCATATCGTACACACATGTTTGTCGTTATGGAAATCCACATACTTCAGCAGTACCCAACAGCAGTCATCAATTCGACGTACATTCGAGGAATTACAAATTCAAATTGTTGTATATAATTTTTATACATTTATTTACATTTTTTTCTTCTTTTTTAAATATTATTGCTGGAGTAGTATTTTACTGTCCATATGAATGTTGAAATATTTTGTTTTATTTTTCAGATTGTTTTAAACAGTTAAAGTATCAAGTACACGACTCTTACAACGCGTCTTTGATGGTCAATTTAATCGTGTTATATTTAGTTTTTTTTTTTATACTAGAAACAACAAAGAAGTGCGTAGAGATCCCCATTTTGCTTTCATTGAAAGTGAAGCTATTCGTATTTATTCTTTCAAGAAATACTAAACCACTACAAAGAATTTTTTTAAGAAAAAGTTAAAAAAAATGTATATAAAAACTACTTTTAAAACCCTTTAAGAATACTAATTAAGAAATTTGATGATTTAGCAATAAATAAAATTTAAAAATTATAAAACGTTGCGTTAAGTGTTAAAGAAAAATTTTTTTTTAAATGAGTATCAATATGTATCATTATGTGACATTCTGGTTAAAATATCTTTATAAAATTATATGTTTAAAATTAACCACATTTTTTGATAACACCGGCTTTAAAAGTCACTATTTGTGTGAATTTAAAGATGAATCTAATAACAGAAATTACATACCCAAAGTTAAGGGTTTGCCTTTGGTTGGCACCATTTTTGATTTAATAGCTGCAGGAGGAGCTCCAAAGTAAGTGAAACATATTAAAAGCTAATCTATCGAAAACTAATTGTAGATAAGTGATAACAACAAGATCAAAATTGTACTATTTTTATAAAAACTTGATCACTTATCCAATTTTAATAGAAAATTGCATCATTAATCAAATTTTTATAGAAAACGTGACCATTGATCTAATAATGATCATTAATCAAATTTTCATAAAAAACTTGATCATTGACCAAATTTTCATAAAAAACTTAATCATTGATAAAAATTTTTAATCCAAAAATCATTAATCCCATTTTTATAGAAAATTTGATCATTGATAACATTTTTAATAGAAATCATTGATAAAATTTTTGTAGAAACCATTGTTCAAATATTTATAGAAAACTTGATCATTAATCAAATTTTCATAAAAAAAAACTTGATCATTGACCAAATTTTCATAAAAAACTTAATCATTGATCAAAACTTTTAATCCAAAAATGATCTTTAATCCCATTTTTATAGAAAACTTAATCATTGATAAAATTTTTATAGAAAACTTGAAACATTCATCAAATTTTATAGTAAACTTGATTATAAATCAAATTCTTATAGAAAACAAGATCATTATTAAATTTTCTTTTATAGAAAATTTGATCATTGAAGAAATTTTTATAGAAAACATGATCGTTTATCAAATTTTTATAGAAAACTTGCTTATTGAAGAAATTTGTATAGATAACATGATCATTGATTAAATTTTTATAGAAAAACATCATATTTTTATAGAAAACTGGATCACTGATCATATTTTTATTGAAATTTTTATAGATAACATGAATTTTCATAGAAAAACTTGATGTTTTTATAGAAAACTGAATCATTCATCATATTTTTATAGAAAACTTAATTAATAATACATTTTGTATAAAAGTCTTGATCATTGATAATTTTTTTAGAAATCAAAATCATTGATCAAATTTTCATAGAAAACTTATTATTAATCATATTTTTATAGGAAAGTTGATCATTGATTAAATTTTCATAAAAAAGAACTTGATCATACGGTTGTATAAAGAACTTGATTACTGATCAAAATGTCTGTAGAAAACTTGATCACTGTTTAACATATCATTTGGAAAACCTGATTACAAATGATATTTATGACTGATATGATCGTTCATCAAATTTTTTGTTTAAACTGATCAAATACAAGTGATTTTTTAAAGATAATCAGTAACAAATTTTTCTACCGAAAATTTGATCAGTGATCATGTTTTTTTTTTTTTTTTGATAAATAAAATAAGTCGTAAATGTCCACTTTTTAAATAAGACATTCAGTTAAATATTTGTGTACACTTTTCGTTCTTTATAAATAATTAATTTGTTTTATTTAAAATTCTAAAAAAAATCAAATTTCAATTTCAGACTACATCTTTACATTGACAAACGTCATGCCGAGTATGGGCATATATTTCGTGAACGTTTGGGTGGAACAGAGGAGGGTATATTTGTGTCATCTGCAAATCTAATGCGTGCAGTATTTATTCATGAGGGTTCATATCCCCGGCATCCATTACCAGAAGCTTGGGTATTATACAATAAAGAAAACAATTGTCAAAGAGGTTTATTCTTTATGTAGGTTTTAAAATTTGAAAAACTAAGTTGATGTCGAGCATTAAGATTAATCGAATATATTATTATTTTTCTTTAATTTTAAAAGGGATGGTGAAGAATGGTTTCACAATCGTCGTATATTAAGTCGTTTACTGCTCAATGGTAATCTCGATTGGATGGATTGGCATGTTAGACAACAGAGTAATAGATTAATACAAAAGTGGTTACGTAAATGTGAAGGTCAGCCAACTAAAGGTTTTATAATAGAAAATTTGGAAGAACAGTTATACAGATGGTCTATAGATGGTGAGTGTTTTAAGTTTTACATTTATGTATGATAGAGTTCAAGGTAAATTTATATTTTTATTTTGCATTTTAAGTTATCATATCTGTCATGTTTGGCGAAACTTCGGATTTGGAAATATTAGATATTCAACAGGCTGTCGATGAATTTTCAAATATTGTTCACAAAATATTCGAAAGCAGTTCACCTTTAATGAATTTCCCACCCAAATTAGCCAAAATGTTAGGTATGAAAATATGGCGTGAATTTGAAAAAAGTGTTGAAGAAGTTTTAATCAAGGGCTATCGTGTAATTGATCTATTCCTGGAACGCACTTCAGCCTATCCTGGTGGTCTTTATGAAAAATTACAAGAGGCTGAAGTTCCTTTGGATATGATAAAACGTATATTTGTGGATTTGGTTATAGCAGCTGGAGATACAGTGAGTAAAGTGTTTAAATTTAATATTTTTAAAAATAGATAATAGAATGAATGACCACATTAAAAAAAAAAACTTGATCACTTATCTATATTTTATAGAAAACTTGATCAACACTACAATTTTTAATAGAAAACTTAATCATTGATCAATATTTTATAGAAAACTTGATCTCTGAACAATTTCAATAGATCACTGATCGATTTTTCTATTTATTTTTAGAAAAAATTGATCACTGATCAACTTTTAATGCAAATTTAGTTTATTGATCAATATTTTATGAAAAAATTTATTTACTGATTAACATTTTTTTAAGAAAACTTGATCGTTGATAAAATTTGAATAGAAAACTTGATCACTTATCAATATTTTATAGAAAATTTATTCAATGATCACCATTTTTATAGATAATTTATTTTTTATAAAAATTGATCAGTGATCAAGTAAAAAGTTTTGTCAAAACAAGTGTCAAAAAGCTGAAAAGAAATATTCTATTTTGTAAAAAGAGAACATTTATGAAATCTTTAAATTGATGTGCTTAACAGACTGCCTATTCCACTACCTGGGCTTTATACCTGTTGTCACAAGATGAAAAATTACAAGAGAAGCTGTATGAAGAATACAATACCAACACCCATGATACACCCTTACTAAGAGGTCTAATAAAGGAAACACTACGTCTTTATCCGGTAGCACCATTTATTGGCCGATACATACCACAGGAATGTATGCTGGATAATAAATATCACTTAAAAGAAAATGTAAATTCCAAAAAAATTTCTGTTAATTTTCTATATACAATTAATAATATTTTCCGTATTAGTCCTTGGTGTTTCTGTCACTATTTACGGCTGGTCGTGATGCCAAGCATTTCCCGGAACCCTTAAAAGTAATGCCAGAACGTTGGCTACGTAATGAACAGACTGGTGAGTTAAGAGCGGTATATGAAGCTCATGCTACTTTACCTTTTGCCATTGGAAATCGTTCTTGTATTGGACGCAAATTGGCCATTAATCAAATGCAATATATGGTAGCCGAGGTAACTATAATAAAAATACTTTTATATTACCTTATAAATAAATATTATATTTTTTCTTTTAGATGGCCAAACTTTTTCATTTAAAATGTCTTAATAGCACACCCATAGAAAGTATCTTAAGATTGGTTACCATTCCCAATCAACCCATTAAACTATTAATAAACAAACGCTGGGATTAAATTTACCTAAAGTTAGTGATAAAAACAAATTTTAAACAAAATTTAATTTATACTTTCTAGTTTAATTGTTAAAAATAAATTCTTTATTGATAATTTTTTCTTAACAAAATAGATTTCATAATTGTTAATATTATTATATTTTGCTTTGGACAAGTTACGCAGACACTACGATGATATTAGGGCCATAATAAATACATAAATTAGGGTTATAAACAATAAGATTGTTAAACCAAATGTCGAAGAGCCCCAGAAGAGGTAACCGATAGCAAGAGCTAAAAATATTAAAGCTAACGAACGATAAGAGGCTAAAAATCGTAAACATAGACGAGCGGGTACTTGTTGTTCACACAATTCGCTTACACCTGAAACATCACAAGAAGCTGTGCATTAGTGTAGGCCATAAGTTATTCTAAAGTATTTTAAATGAATAAGAGTTACTAACCTCTTGGTTTATCGAACCATTGTGCGGTCATGGGAGCGTATAAAATTTGACGTGATAGTTTACCAACAATATCCGTACGATTCCAGAGAGTTTGCAATTGTTGGCCATACTTTAGAAGAGGACAAAGGACGAAAGAGAAGAAAACAAATTATAGAGTTGTGTTTATAGTAGTTATTCACCACAAATTGGGGATGTTTGTATGATTTAATTATTGATATTCAAAAATAAAAAAAAAAATATTTTTTGATGAAAATAATGATTGGGAAAATGCTTCATCACTCGAATTTACATAAAAGATTAAAAAAAGATTAAATTGTTACAAAAAACTTGAACAATTGAACCAAAATTTCTATCGAAAAATTTATAAAATGATTTGTGATAAAATATCTATAGAAAATTGGATCAGCGATTAAATTTTAAAAGAAATTTTTATAGATCAGATATTTTTAAACTTGATCATTAATAAACATTTCTATTGAAAACTTGATCACTCATCAAATTATAATAGAGAACTTGTTCTGCGACCAACTCGTTACAGATTATTTTGGGCAATTTCAAGGTTTATAAGACAGAAAGGCTCTGATAGAAAGGTTATCTTAGAATTTAAACCTTTATAGACCGATGTTATAAAATTAATGATGAGAATAAGAAGATATGTATAAAGATATTGTTATTAAAAATCACAGATTGTCCTACAAATTTAAAAACGTGATTAAACTTACCTTGTCATTAATACAACAACAAATTTGATGTAAAATGCGCACCAATACCTTTACTTCATATGTTTGTATAGGCAATAGAGCAGGATCTATGGACGATTTAATATTAGCTAAATTGTCCATCATTTGTCTAGGCGAAACACGAGAAATATCTAGATAATCACTATTGTCATATATAGAGAAATTGAAATTGTCATTAAAACTGGCACCGGCGGATACATCCAATTGTTCCATAGATATATTAGGTAAATCAACCTGAAATTTTTTATAAAAAACATGAAAATCGCCACTAAAATTTATGTATATAAAAAAATCTTACATCAAACATTTGACACAATGAACGTACAGCCACCGACAAAAAATCTGGTATTTTATTAATTTCCTGTAATTTTAACTCTTCGGGAGATTTGTCCTCAAATAAACTAGTAAAAAGTTTCTTAAAGAAACCCAACGACTTACGACGATCCACTTGTTCACGACGTATAGTTTGAATTTCTTGTAAAATGTACATGCGTGAGATATGTACGGTTTTAATAAATTGTTCTATTTCCTGGCGTATGACAGGACCAAACATGGGTGTGTAGACATCATCATGATAAAAACTATCAGTCCAATCACAAGAACCCGGAGTAGAGCTTTAAGTAGAATTTATATTTCTTTAAAAAATTTAGTTTTAATGGTTAAATACTTACTTCAATAAGGTACTGTGTTTGCGTGGTGATTCAAAGGATATTGAACTGCCGGCAAATGATTTTTCAGCTTGATACAGTTTTTGTGATAAACCCGGTTGACTGAAAACCTAAAATAATTGTTAAGGTTTTGAATTTAAGCTATTATTGTTTCATTAAAGACTTACCTTAACCAAACGATTTAACATAATGACATTGGGAAAAGAAGTAAAATCTAATCTTTCAAAACGTGGTAATATGTGTACAAAGATTTGAGTGTAAATGACCAAATTTTCAGCTATAAAAGAATCAAATCTACTGCTGATAGGACCGTCCATATTAGCCATACTGTTTGAAAATAAAACAAGGGGTATAAATTCATATCCATATATTTGTTTAATTTTTTTTTAATATTTACCCATTATTTTGCCATTCAAACCTGTAACGCCAAGGTTGTATATAGCTTAGCCATAATTCCAAAACCACTGACAAAGAACTGTCTAATGGCCATCTTCCAATAATGCTTTTGATGAAGGGATAAATGCGTGGCTTCATCATGGGTTGAGCTATTTTACGTAAAGAAGCCATTGCTGTTTGATCTAAAGCGGCAGAATTGGCAAAGGAATGTGTTTGTTTTACCAAAATGCGCACTACACGTATAAATTCACTACTGGGTAGATCCTAAATATAAAACAGTGTTATCATTGATAAAATTATTATAAAAAACTTGATCATATTGATCTGCAAATAGTTTAGACAATAATGTGAAATAAATGTAAAATATAAAACAACTTACCCTCGCCTCATCGATATCATAACGCAACCATGTGTCTATGAAAAAATGCAAAACCGATTCCGTTCTCCAGGCATGTGCCCTTGGCGATGAATCCACACTACGTTGATTCATTTGTGACATATTATTGCCATACAAACTATTATTCGACTGGGGTATTCTTAGATATTTAGGAGATTTTTTTGGTTGTAATTGTTGCACTGGCATGGGTTGTGGTGCCTTAACACTGGTACATATATTTGAGGGCATAACCATGGCATCGGGACGACTGGGCAGGAAATTGCACAAATATTCCGCCGTCAGAAAGAAATACACAGTTTTCATGCGTTCATTGTGTACTTGTAAGGCAGCCGGATACATTTTGTGTAATGGATATGTGGCGTGTATTACAAAATGTAATATATAATAGTCGAAGGCATTGAGAGATAAGGAAGCGATTTGTCGCCTTAAGGGATCGACATTTATCAGGTCGGCATAAAACATGTTGTATTGCCCAGATTGCAACAATTCAACTAATTTGTGCTGCAAATTTACATAAAAAGTTATAAAATTTATAGATTTCTTACTGCCACATCCACTTACCGGCAATTGTTCTAAAGACAATTCGAATTTGATGGCTTCATTTAACAAACGATAGCATAAACGAAACATTGGTCCCATAGGGGCAAAAAAGTTATGCAGCATGTCAAAACATTGTGGCGAATTTTCCTTTGTGGTGGCCCTTAAGCCCCAACCCAGGCCACCGGTGCCAATACCAAAAACAGATTGTACAATTGAAGGAAATATCTCTTGAAGTTCTCGTAAATTGCATCTTTCAAATAGTATATTCAATTCTGTACATCGATCCAATAAAGGAAAACTAAGCAGTTCAAGGATACGATTCTAATAGCATAAAAATAACAAACAATAAAAAAGCCGCATTATTTATTTTGTTTTCATTTCGCACTCTCTGTTGCTTGCTGCTCCCGCTCTTTTCACTGCCGAATACTTACGCCAATATTTTCATTATACAAGGCCATATTTTGATGGATTCTTTATAAATAATTTATTCTATAAAACTAATAAATTAAAACGTGAAGGTTTTGTAATAAAAGTTTCCTTTTCCAATAGTTTTTTTCTTAATAATTGAGTTTTTTCTTTTGTTTTCTTTACACAAACACAAATAAAAAAAAAAAATTTCACAAAAACTGAAGACTTCAACCAAAGTAAATTTATAAAGTAGACTCATTTGAACAGCTGACTATTTTTTTTAAACTTGCTATTTGTGGACTTACTTGTCAAAAATGTTTATGTTGCCATATTTGTTTTCATTTTAACGCTTGCTTTTGTACAAATTTCTGAGTAATTTGTTGTATTTAATGTGAAAAAGTGTATTTTAAGTGTATAATATTTTTAAAAATGTTCTAATTTTTAAAAAATAAAGAAAACTCTGTGACTTTTAATATAAATAACAACATATTTTTGGAAAGTACAACAATAATGCCATATTTTCCATTAATTATTGGTTCATTTTTGTAAACAAATTTTGACAAGTTAGTATTTCGAACAAAAACAAATTGCCTGTGGTTTTTGTAGACGTTTGTTGTACAACAACTCGTGTCGCTACTTTATTAATTTACTTTGACTTCAACAAATGTGTGTAGCAGGGATGGAAAATTGAGTACTATTGTTCTTTTGTAGTACTTTTGCTTTCTAAAAGTTTTTATAAATCAAATCGTATTAAGGATTTTATTTGATTTATTTTGATAAAATTTGTTAAAAACATTGTATGGTACTTAGAGTTTTTGTGCGACAAGAGTTTGTATTCAGTACCAAATATAAATGTGATTTTCCATGCCTGTTCTGTGTGCGTGAAGTTGACAATTTGGGAATGTTATGGAATAAAAACATTAACATGTAAAAATAAATGAGAATTGAAACATTAAAAAATAATGAAAACAAATATTGAATTAGATGTTAAAATAAGCTGACTATGAAAATTTCAAAAAGAATGTTCTTAAATAATATAAAATAGAAATATGTACTACCTATTAGGGTTCTATATATATCTGACTTTGACTTTTCAACCAAAAGTGATAGATGGTTCGATTTGAAAACCCTAATACTTTCTGTTTGATTTTTCGGAAAATACAACTCTGTATTTCTGTTATATTTATTTATCCGGTTGCCAACGGAAACTAAAATTTCGAAAAGAATAAACTTCATATATTTTAACTAAACTATTCATTTATTAAATATTAGACTTACTAATCTAGAAAAATCTGCAAACTAATTAAAATAACATGGAAGTAGAAGTTGAAGCAGCCACTGTGGGACAATTTCAAACTCTAGTACGTTACAATAATCCCGTGCTAGTGGTTAAACATGCTGAAAAGAAAACCATACCAGCAGAAT